AAGTCGCACATGCGCAGTCAGGTCAGTTTTTCACCATCAGATAAAAATGAACAGATCAAGCGTTTACATGCGCACCGATCGGGTTTCGGATCGGCGTAAACCACCCGTTTCGTTCTGATCACAAATTATAACGGATCGCGCCGAATACACAAAAAATAACCCGAACGGAGTGTTTACATGACACACTTCTATTCCGACCGGCCATTTGATCCGGTTACTTATGTCCATGTAAACATACCTAATGAAATGAAGATAACGAGTTACAACAAATAATATTTTCTCTCTGGGATTAATGAAGTATTTTTGAATTGAATTGAATTTGAATTGAACATATAAACCAAAAAGAACTCAAGGGAGTAATGCTAAGCCTTGATGCTGAGAAGGCATTTGATCGAGTTAATTGGGAGTTTTTATATCAACTATTAAACAAATTTGGATTCCATCCAGTGTTAAATCAATTAAAACATTATGTAATAAACCAAAAGCTAAAATAAAAATAAATGGTGTTGTATCAAACTCGTTTATTCTAGAAAGGGGGACTAGACAGGGCTGCCCACTGAGCCCTCTGTTATTTGCACTGTTTATTGAATCATTAAGCCAAGGGATCACCCAGAACAACAACAATACTGTTGGAATAAAAATATTAGACCAAGAATTAAAGACTTCTTTATTTGCAGATGATGTACTGATAACTTTATCAAACCCTGAAAATTCCATTTTGGAACTGCTATCATTTTTAGATTCCTTTAGAGCTGTCTCGGGCTATAAATTAAATATCCAAAAGACTCGAATACTAAGTTTCAATTACAAACCCAGCCAGAATATAATCTCCAAAGCTCAGCTAAATTGGAAAATTAAGCACATTAAATATTTGGGAGTGAATATCCCAAAAGAACTATCAGAACTACGCAGCTTAAATTTTGATTTATTAAGCCAGGAATTAAAGGAAGACGTACAGAAATGGAATCTGATTCCAATGTTAAATTTTGAATCTTGGATTGAAACAATAAAAATGAACATCCTGCCAAGGATTCTATATTTATTCCAGACTGTTCCAATTGAGATTAATGACGAACAAGTTAGTGAATGGGATAAACTGATATCACGATACATCTGGCAAGGGAAAAAAAAAAACGAGGCTAAAATTTCAAATTCTTCAATTGGCAAAAGACGAGGGTGGACTAGCACTTCCCTGTCTAAAAGATTACTACATGGCAGCCCAGTTAAGGATTCTATTTTGTTGGTGTGCCCCAGAGTACAAAGCGAGGTGGAAGGAAATTGAGGAAAACATATCTGGGACAGTACCAATCCAAGCTAGATTAGGAGACAAAACACTAATCAAAGGACTGATGGAAACAGGAAATAAATGGATCAACTTATCTTTAAAAATATGGTGGACTGTTTTAACTAAAAATAATATGACAGAAGAAGCAAAGATCTTGAAATGGTGCTATTATGACCCAAATTTTACCCCAAATAAAATTATAGGAGATGGGTTAACTTGGGTCTCTCCTCATATTGTACTTTTTACAATCAGGCAACATTAAAGAGCTTCCAGATGTTGAAAAGGCTGCACGGTCTCATTAATAGTAACTTTAGATTTCTTCAAGTACGCAATCACTTAAACAGCTTTATATCAAAAAATCAAAAAGCATTCGAAAACAGTCTATTAAAAATACTTATTAGTGCTTGCAAGATAGACTGTAAACAAAAAGTAGTCTCCAGATTCTACAAAAGACTTCAGGAGATTAAAACAATTAATACCACTTGCGTAAAACAGAAATGGGACAGAGAAACTAACACCCACCTTTCAGAAGACACCTGGGAGAAATACTGTGGATTTCAGTGGAATATTTAGATACTCTTGTTAAATTTCTTGTTACTATTAATTTTTAATGCATTTAGGTGTCTAGATATGAAGACGAGCATCAACGAAGCATCAGAAAGGGAATTAACATGACTCTAAACGTAGTGTGGTTGTTGTAATGAGAAGGACGGTCTGAATATTTCAGAAACTAATTAAAAACTACTGAGGTTTTTACACTCAATCATATTTAGGGTTTACAGGGAATGGTTTGAAAGTGAGAAAATATCCAGTAAGCAGCTGTTTGGATAAAAATGTTTTGTTAATGTCACAGGAGACAGCAGCTCAAATAGCCACTTTTTGCAAACAAAGGTCTGCAGAGTGCCATCTCTGAACACATAACACATTGAACCTTGAAGCACATGGGCTACAGCAGCAGAAGACCACACTGGGTGTGATGGAACAGGAGATTGGCTTCATGGATGGGCAGTTGACATGCCATCATGTCAATATGGACCAGAACCTTTGAGGAATGTTTGCAGCACCTTATTAAACGTGTACCACAAACTATTAAAGCAGTTGCATGCCTTAGACAATGATTGTTGTCTGTGGAGGGATTTGGCTCCTTGGATGATGGCTGTAATCTAGAACGATCTTAATGGATAATGTCAGCGCCAAGCACTGCCAGCATGTGTGTCTGCAGCGTCCCAGTGATGCACAGACGGGGATCATCAGGAGTCCATATGCATTTGCCAGAGCAAAATGGAGCGATGTTGCGTAACGCTGACGGTTAATTCAGCATGGCCTGGAAACACAGAGGGCAGGGAAGAAAGGAGGGAGCACACTTTGTCAACATGACAGTTTTCTGATCTGCTGATGAATAAATATTTCTGTACGTTTGGCTGGCGAGGAAGTACAAGTCAAGTGAGGCGCAAATATCTCGTCTGTGTTGAATTATAAAGCTGATACACTTTTGAAGTCTGCCACTGGCTCAATGGCTTTAGGCTCCCCTCCAAGCTTAGATGTTTTTCTCTGGGAACTGTAGTCTTGTGAATCATGCAAAACTCATTTAGAAGCACTTGTGTTAACATTGTCTCTCGTAAGACACTTCAGCTTTATGTTCACAAGCTGCCATTTATTGACCATGCAAGTGGCACAGAAGCTTGTTCAGGTAGCTTGATTGAGTGTGACCATCACAGCATTTCAGTTAAGTTGTACTGAGAAAAATGTCTTCATATTTGATGCATATTTAAACCTACTGTAGTTTTAAACTAGTACTGTTCAAAAACAGCCTTCTGGTTTGTGTTGTTTTTGTGGCTTGTGGCAGCAGTTGGGGCACTGAAAGCTGATTTCTAGTTTAGTTTGTTTTATGTGAAGAATTTGTTTTATTTCATCAACCTTGCAACTTGTTCAGTAGAGAAACAAAATACAATTGACATAAGTTTTATTTTATTTTTATGTTAAACAGGTGTTGAACTGTTTGAACTTATTACCACATTTTTGGAGTGCAATTTCTAATTTTGTTCAATTCCATTTTTTTTTATATAGATTATTGCAGTTGTAAGCATTCGTCCACAACATGTCCCAGGACAAAAGTGGATACCCTATAATGGGTGAGACTAACCCACTCCATAATGACGTCTACGGACCCCCTCAGCCAGGTTTTGGCATGCCACCTCCCAACTACAGCCAAGGTCCAGGTGGACCGTACCCTCAAGCAGGTGGTTATGGACAGCCCGGCTTCTCTCCAGCAGGTGCAGGTTTTGCCCCAGGTCCCTACCCTCAGATGCCCTACCCACAGGGACCCTACCCACAAGGACCCTACCCACAAGGACCCTACCCTCAGGGCCCTTATCAGCAAGGTCCTGGACAACCAGGCTTTCCTGGTGATCCTATGGGTGAGTATTCAACACTAGAGCACAGTCATCAGTGACCAGACAATTTACTTTAATGACGACTTTGTTTTAGTAATAGCATACACCAATCTAACGAAGTGAAGTTGGGTCTTCTGGATGGTTTATTTTTGTTGAAACGTTTCGTCTTTCATCCAAAAGCCTTCATCAGTACGAGGAGCCGCAACAAAGTCAGTCTTATAAATAGCACCTTCTCATAGTGGATCAACCAGTTTGATAATGCTCAGGTGGTTTATGTAGATTATTGGATTATTGAGCATGAATTGGGATATTTCAAACCACTTTGGCCATGATTGCCTCAAACTAGTTCGAGACTTTGAGCAGGCAGTGGGGGGAGGGCGGATTAAAGGAACCATCTGAGCACCATCAAACTGGTTGACCCACTATGAGAATGTGCTATTTATAAGACTGAGTTTGTTTCGGCTCCTCGGACTGATGAAGTGTTTTGGATGAAAGACGAAACAGTGTTTCCCCTAGTTAACTTGTCATGGTGGGGTGCTCATCTCATCCATGATTTTTGTTGATGGGGGACGGACGCATGTCTGAGCACAGCAGTTTTTGAGTGGGGGCGTTCAGCTTGAGGGAAGAGGCAACATGAGTGCTGCCTTTAGCTTTTTAGCTAGAGAGCCTGTATTTCACGCTGCTAGCTTAGTGCTATGTCAGTTCCTGGGTGGGGGGTGAAGTTCGGTTTGGTAGGCGGGGTGCTCCGTTCTGGTGACGGCACCCTGCTTGTGTAGTGGTAGGGGAAACTCTGCAAAACATTTCAACAAATATAAACTGTCCAGAGGACCTGACTTAACTTTGCTGGATTTTTCTACCTTGATTATTTAGCCTGAATCAGGATGCATACATCAATGTTTTATTGAGTGGGCTGCAGCAGCTTGGTAGTCGGTGCTGGGGTCTTCTAACCCTTGAGCTGCATGTTCAAGCTCGGGTTGCATCAAGAAGGGCACACTGTAAAACGATTGCCAAATTTCTCATGCAAGTTTTCTCATTGTTGTGACCCCTGCACAAGGAAGCAGCTGAAAGAAAAACAACTTAAATAGCAGTGTTCTACTTAGATGATAAGGCTGTTTTCACACCTGATAGTCCGGTAGACTCGGTTCAGTTGGGGACTAATATTCATAACATTTTGTTTACATTTGAGCTGGTACGTTTGCGTTCACACTAGGGGTGTAACGGTACACGTGGGTGTATTGAACCTTTTCGGTATGGCATGTTCGGTTCGGTCCACGTGTGTACCGTTTCGGTTATTTTTTCATTAATTAAATTTTATTAACGAGAGATTATGCGCCGCGGAAATAAAGTTTCTCAGGGTGTTTCAGCACGGTGCTATTATCTTGCAGCATTAGCAGCCTTTATTCTCGTTGCCGTCTCCTGTTGTGGAGCATTATGGCTTTCTTGTTAAAAGACAAGTGAACAAATCCAAAGCTGTGTGTCTACGTTGTTTCACGGAGATTGGATCTGCAGCAGCAACACGTCTAACTTGTTAACATTTTTGAAACATCATCCGAACGTGAACGTCTTCTACAGAATAGCAGCTTGGTTGGTGCAAACACCGATAGCAGCAGCATTTAAACAATCTTTATCAGGTAATTCAGATCGGTCCAAAGCAATAACACAAGCTGTAGGAGTTTTTAAAGCTCTGGATCTACGTCAGTATTCTGTTGTTGATGCGCCGGCTTTAAAGTTATTGAGCCCCGCTACGACATCCCATCACATCAACACTTCAGCCAAACAGTTGTAACAGCACTTTATGAAGCTAAAACTGTTATTGTCAACAAGCCCTGGACCAGATTAAAGCCCTGCCCTGATGATGATGATGATGATGATGATGAACGAGAGATTCAACCACCTCATAACAGAAATGATGACCGTTCAAGAAGAGGTATTATTATTATTATTATTATTATTATTATTATTATTATTATTATTA